CTACCCTCACCACACTCACCACACTGTCTACACTCACCACACTCACCACACTGTCTACACTCACCACACTCACCACACTGTCTACACTCACCACACTCACCACAATGACTACCCTCACCACACTCACCACACTGACTACCCTCACCACACTCACCACACTGACTACCCTCACCACACTCACCACACTGACTACACTCACCACACTGACTACCCTCACCACACTCACCACACTGACTACACTCACCACACTGACTACCCTCACAACACTCACCACACTGACTACCCTCACCACACTTACCACACTGACTACCCTCACCACACTCACCACATTTACCACACTCACCACACTTACCACGCTTTACACACGGACCACACTCATCACACTCACACCACTCAACACCAGTCACCACACTGACCACACTCACCAAACTCATCACACTGACCACACAGACCACACTCACCCCACTTGTTACACTCGCCACACTGACCACACTCAACGCACTCACAACACTCACCACACACAGCACACTTACCACACTTACCACAATCACCACACTCACCCCACTTACCATACTCAACACACTCACCCCACTTAACATACTCACCACACTCAACGCACTCACCACACTGACCACACTGACCACACTTACCACAATCACCACACTCACCACCCTCACCACACTCACCACACTTACCAAAATCCCCCCATTCATCACACTCGCCACTCTCACCATACACAACTCACTTACCACACTCACCACACTGACTGCACTCACCACACTCACCAGCTTCTTGTGGCATAAGATGAACACTTTGATGTACGAAATATAGGGGGGGGGGTGCTGTATATTAGAGTTATTTAAAGGGAGAATATACCAAATGCACAATATTTCATAGGGTAGTTTAAGCAATTTAACAGGAGCACCGTATAAAAAAACCCCCTCCCCCCTCCCACCATACACAACCCCCTTACCACACTCCCCCCACTGACTGCACTCCCCACACTCACCAGCTTCTTGTGGCATAAGATGAACACTTTGATGTACGAAATATAGGGGGGGGGGGGTGCTGTATATCAGAGTTATTTAACGGGAGAATATACCAAATGCACAATATTTCATAGGGTAGTTTAAGCAATTTAACAGGAGCACCGTATAACAAAGGCATCAAACATGAGGGCATGTGGTGAAATATAGTATCCTCTGAGATACATCACGGAATACCATAAACTACTATAGGCCACAGGCCACCTCATAACAAGGAAAAAATATCAGAATGACAATATATATATGTATATATACACATATATATTGGGCATTAACTAAAAGTTTGTTGCACATATCAGAATGTAACAAAGTTGTCGATGGGATGTTTAGGAAAGTGGTGTTTATTATGAAGAATATTAGGTAGCCAAGGATGATGGTCATGGGAGAGTTTGGGTTATAGGATAGTTGAGAAAGATGGTTACGGGAGAGTTTGGGTTGTAGGGTAGTTGAGAAAGATGGTTACGGGAGAGTTTGGGTGGTAGGGTAGTTAAGAACGATGGATACGGGAGAGTTTGGGTTGTTGGATAGTTGAGAAAGATGGTTACGGGAGAGTTTGCGTCATAGGATCGTTGAAAAAGATGGTAATGGGAGAGTTTAGGTTATTGGATAGTTGAGGATGATAGTTACGGAAGGATGTGGGTTATAGGTTACTTGAGGATGGTGGATATTAGATTGTTTGGAAGGAAGCAAGATAACGGGTCATGGCTTGGGCAGAAGTGGGGCGTTGCTCGCCTAGACCGCTCAACATTTGTGGATGCGGGTGTGGGGGGGGGGGGGATTTGTAAAATTTGATTGGCCAAAAGTTGCGATGCAAAAACTAAATTTTACTTTTTCAACATTGAAAGCAGGGTTCCTCCAATAGTTACGTGAGGGCTCTGGCTTAGTTGGGGGGGGGGGGGGGGNGTCTAAATGACATGTGCTATATGACATGGCGTAAATGACATGGCCTAAATGACATGGCCTAAATGACATGGCCTAAATGACATGGCCTAAATGACATGGCCTAAATGACATGGCCTAAATGACATGGCCTAAATGACATGGCCTAAAGCACAAATTTCAATGTCAATGGTTTGTATTCACTTTTTATGGATTTTTTCAAACATATTTTTAAAAAATTTAAAAAATCATTATTGTCATGTTGTTGTTGTTTTTCCTTTCCAGAAACCGCCTTTTTATTTTACCTGAAGACTGTTTTCTTCACGTGACTTAGTGAAGTTGTTAGCTGAAACATTTTTAACGCAAACCAAAGCAGGTGAATAAATGTTTCAACTTATCATCACAGCCAGCGTCGTATGAAAGGGGTGGGGGGGGGGTGGGCTTTCGACACATGCGCCAGCATTAGGTGTCACCAAAATCATCTAGAAAGGACCTTGACAGAGAATTAATCTATAAAATACCGTATATTTCACCAGCAAATGTGGTGCATAAATGGTCCTCTCTGAGCGGCACTTTTGTCTATATACTGAGGACGCCATTCTCAGTCTTCGGTCAGTGCGCTGCTTTTCCTCGGCACGGCACTGATAACAAGTGAAGCTTTACTTCTGGTCGAGGGCTTGCCGTTCAGTTCTGGTTGATGGCTTGCCGTTCAGTTTATATGTCAAGATAAGACCTAGTCGATTAGTTAAAAGATTACACAAATATTTATCAGCTGAACATCCATCAACAGACTAACGTTGCAAGTACAATGGGTTATCTATGTAAAGATTTGCACGCATAGCTATTCGTTTAACACACGTGAAATGCCGCACGCGATTGAAATTATGCCAGCAGGAACAAAGTGTGCATTTGGAACCTTTGCAACATCCAAAAACAAAATGATACTCAAAGACGATATGCCAGTTATTAGACAATACATAGAGAGTCTCCAAAAAATTTAACACAGGAGGTACTTGGGGTTCCGGAATCATCCAAAAAGGAAACAATGAATTGAGAACCCCTGCAATCTCCCAAACGGTTGGCGCTTGACGACACACCTGTCGGCGATGAAGCGGTCTATTGAGATCCCTTGCAATACGCAAGTGAGAGGGTTTTTTTTATGACAATGTGTACCAGAGTTAAGAGTACGGGTAGTGTTGACACAAGATCACACTGGTTTGTGGACTTAACATCAGGAAGCTAAGGAAGGGAAGCTGAATTTTTTTCATGTCTATCATTACGTAGTGCTGTGTGGGTATGAAGTTTTTCCTATCACTGATACAACACAGATGGATTTCATGAATACCACTGCCTGCTCGCAGTCGCACCGGGAAACGGAAGGGGTGTGTGGGGGGGGGGGCACTGGGTGAAGGCGCTGAGGAGGGAGTGGGCGGTCCGAGCAAGGGGCATTTTTAAAAATGTATATTGAGGGACGGCGTTTTCGCCCAAATGCAGTTGGGGGGGCAGTTAGTGACAACTCTTGCACATTGAGATTTAAGTTAAGAAATTAAAGAGATTAACTCGTTATGTATGATAATTCAACTGAGTTTTTCCGCATAAAAAAAGAAAACGGCCATATTGTAAGTGCATCTTTTACGTTCATAATGCAATCTGCTTCCGGCTCCAGTAAATGACGTCCGACTTGAAAAAGTATTAAAAATCATTCAGATTTATTATTTTAAAATTAAACAAATTTTTAAATTTTAAAAAATTAAATCGCTCTTTAAAGTTGTCGAATAATCTGTATAAAAGATTGTACAAAATATGTTGATGCAGAGTGCAAGATGTATTATGTATACGTATCTACATGAGTCATTTCTTCGATTCTAGCTCGTGAGAAGGTGAAGAAGCTATCAGGAAACATACAGTGATGAGAATGTTCAACATCCGTGGTGTGCAATCTAATGTGCTGCACCAACGACTTTTTTTTCAGATTTGACACAATACATATGGAACCTTACCAGCCAGCGAACTACATCGGCATAAGTTATAAATGTGTATGGAGATTCAATACTTGAGGAACAATATGAAGATTATTACAGTCAACATTTGGACTATATTAGTAGTGTCTGGCTAAAGACAAAAGTGAAAGTTCCTGAATGTATTGAAGGCAGTTAGGACCAGGTCTAACCCTAAATCTATTTTGTGTTAGGACCAGGTATAACCCTAAATTTATCGTGTGTTAGGACCAGGTCTAACCTTAAATTTATCGTGTGCTGTTAGGACCAGGTCTAACCCTAAATCTATCGTGTGTTAGAACCAGGTCTAACCCTAAATTTATCGTGTGCTGTTAGGACCAGGTCTAACCTTAAATTTATCGTATGCTGTTAGGACCAGGTCTAACCCTAAATTTATCGTGTGTTAGGACCAGGTCTAACCCTAAATTTATCGTGTGTTGGGACCAGGTCTATCCCCTAAATGTAGCGGGTGTTGTCAGGACGAGCTGGTCTATCCAATATTTGATCAAAGCCATCCTTCACTACGAGACGCAGGGGTGTCACAGTTGATCTAGTCCCGTGTCAACTTTCTACGTCACATAAGGTGGGAGGCGTGTCCCCTCCACCCCCCCTACCCCCCAGAATCTCTGCACTGTGTAGAAGGTTACGTCAAACTGTAGATATGCTTTATCTGACTCATGAAACTGCAACAAGGATGTAAAAGTATCTAAAATATGTTGTTGTTTTTTTATGTGTTGAACTGGAATTAAATCATATGTTTTTTATAGGCGTGTGTGTGTGTAGTTCATCTTTGTTCCGAAGTGTTTCATACTTTGATTCCGCTTGTTTTTAACCCAACAGTTTTCAGTAATGGCCGCCTGTCTAATTCTATCTCTACTATAAGGAGGCCATGCCAACGGTTTTTACCATTAGATTACTTTACTGTGTTTGTTTTGTTTTTTTTGTAGTTGACATTTTTTAATTGTTATATGTTATTTGTAACTTGTAAACTATGCAGTTTATGACCGAAAAAAAAAATGATTAATTTAACAAAAGATCAAGTAAATTTGATGCCCATGGTTAAAAACATAAAATAATTTTTAAACATATACATTTCATGCACAAATATGCATTACCGTAACCAATTGTTCATGATAAAATATGGACTTGTGGAAATCTAGTGGATTCTAAGTTGACAAATTTCGTAAGAAAAAAAAAAAACGTAGGTCCCGATTTTTTTTTTTAAAAAAAAAAAAAAAAAACTAAAATGCCAGCCTTGTAGAAAATACTTCCGATTGGATTAGTTTGATTCAAAGTGAAAGCTACTCAAAATGTTCAATGGGAGATATTGAAAACGTTACAATTTTTTTTTTTTTTAAATGTTGTTTCAAAAATTGGAGAAGATGCCATTGAATGAAGCCAACCACTGTTGTAACTAGAAGTAATGAGCAGAACATTTTGAATTAATGGTTTTTGTTATTTTAAACTTCCCTTTTATATTTATTTTTTTTTTTTTCATTTAGATTTAAACCATTCAGAAGGGATATGCTCCTACCTTTGACAAATTTCACGTTGAATGTTATTTGATCAACTCCTTTTGACAACTTTCAAGTTTAATGGTTTTTTTTTCAACTCTTTTTTGACAACTTTCAAGTTTAATGTTGTTTTTTCAACTCTTTTTTGACAACTTTCAAGTTTAAAGTTGTTTTTTCAACTCTTTTTTGACAACTTTCACGTTTAAAGTTGTTTTATCAACTTTTTATATTTATTATTATTTTTAAATACTTCCCTTACCCCCCCCCCCCAAATCCCACCCGGGATGAGATTATGATTGCGATAAGTATTAGTGTGCGAGGTACCACACATTTGTTTCCGACTTCTTGAAATCGTAGCTACTTTTTCAAAAAAACTTTCTACTCTCAAAACCATGGGGGTTTACAACTTTATAGAATAACTTTTTTGTTATCACACGTGACCCAGTCGCTCAGTTGATCGTGGGTAGGGGAGCTCAGACGTGAGCTGTATGATTTTGGGAAGGGTTTATTCACAAGGGCTTAGGGGCTGGGCATGCGGCGATTAGACTCGGAACAACGAACGCCTTCGACCAGTCGAACAGAGGTACAAAACACCGCAGTCTTTAACTTTCTACATTTTAGTTGTATGCTTAGGCAAAGAGTTAATTACTTTTAACCGGGCCTCTGTACGCATTCGTTGTTTCAAAAATTAATTCTCTTTATCCAGCGAATTACATATTCAAATTTTCATACTGAAAAGTTGAAAATATATTTTTTTAAAGTGTTAACAACTTGTTTAAAAGACTTCTTTTACAGACGAGTTCAACATATTAAAAAGGAACTTAAAATAAATTTCTTCAAATGCATTACGCATTATAAAGAAAGTCTATGCAGATAATATTTTCAAAAATTAAAAAAAATAATAATAATAACCTTATTCAAATCCTTGATAAATGCCTTACCACCCCCCCCCTCCCCTTTTTCCTTTTGTACAGACTTTCTTTACGAAATGTTTTTTTAAGAAATGTAAAAAAAATATGTTCTTTTTTTAGTGCGTTTAAACTCGTCTTTAAAAGAAAGGGTGTTTTGTTTTTCATTTGTTTTTTTGGTGGGGGGTCTTTTTTAGTATTTTATTCATTAATGTGTTAACATATGTTTTCATGCATTAACAGTCTGTGATTAGTGTAACTGATTACAATTTATATATTTTTTGAAAGAGAGAAGCCAGACCCAAAGAAGAAGAAAAAAATTAAATGTTTATTAATATTTGAAAGCTACCAAAATAATGATGTCAATCAAGACCTGATCTAAAAATAGCGTAAAACAGACAGCACGGCTACTTTTTGTGTCTGATAAGGAAAGGGGAGTAATCGGCACGCTACTTTAGTACGGTGCAAAGCCAACTGTTGTACATCATTGACTGACGTGAACTGATGGATAGTGTCACTCTGAACGGTTAGTGGAGGAATCAAAGATCAGATCAGTAGGAACATATTTGGTGAAAGAATGAACGATTATTAGAAATAGAGCCAGATAGGGAAGGAATAAACAATCAGATCAGTAGAAATAGAGCCAGGTAGTGAATGAATGAACAATCAGATTTGTAGAATTATAGCCAGGTAGTGAAAGAGTAACAATCAGATTAGTAGAAATAGAGCCAGGTAGTGATGTTCTCACTAATACTCTTAGATTCTGGTGGGGGTTAATCAAATGTTCGATACTCTACTTTCCAGGCTATTCACCCCTTTCCGTGTTAACTAATTACAGGAAAAAGAAATAAATTTTGTAATTCTGGAAATCTTATCAAGACAATTTTTTCTGACTATTTTTTATTTAAACAAAATCGTTCTGTTAATCTATGTTGAAAAAAAAAAGATTTTGAAGATATTCAAATGTTTACTTTTGAATATTTATGCTTGCTTATCTCCCCTGAAAACCAGAAAAAATAACACTTAATTTGCACCTCTTTGAACCTCAGTCTGCTTTTGTGTGGTCCTAAGACAGACTTACATTTCTCACAGATAAACCGATCCGAATCGCTTGCATTTGCCCTAATTCAGTGGCTTTCAACCTGTGGGTCACGAGCCTCTCGGGGTTCACCTGACAATACGACAGGGGTCGCTAGAGAATGACAGAATTAATATATTTACCTATAAAATTTTGCTGAATAACAGTTCACAATGCTTTATTTTAAAATGATTATGCTTTACATAAGAAGATAACATTGCATGATACGTATTTCTTTTCTTTTTTTCTTCCTTTTTTTTTTTTGTTGAAAAGGTAATTTTTTTTTTTAAATGAAAACTCAATTACATTCAACACCTTAACCTCCCCACCACCACCCCTCCTAAAAAGATACGGTAGTCAACACCTGATTATCACTGTGCAAACATAAGTTCTGGTTGAAGGTTGTCACAACTTGGCCAAACGTTATCAAGAGGTCACGTGATTAAGTTCATTCCCCCAGTCCTAATGATACGATTTGTCTGGAAGGATGTTTGGGATGATGTTTGGGATGATGTTTTGGATGATGTTTGGGATGATGTTTGGGATGATGTTTGGGGTGATGTTTGGGATGATGTTTGGAATGATGTTTGGGATGATGTCCCTCAAGTCATTTGTTTTATGAATTCTACTTTCTTATCGTGTTTTTTGTGATCATTGTTTTCTCGTCTATCCAGCTACCACAGATAACTCTTCGTTCCTGATCACAACTGTCTATCCAGCGATCATAGATAATTCTTCGTTCCTGACCACAACTGTCTATCCAGCGATCATAGATAATTCTTCGTTCCTGAGCACAACTGCACACAGGATTTATTTTGGCGTGGGACTCGGCTGTGGTCTTCTCGTCCTACTGACATTGGTTGCCGTAACTATAATTGTCACGTGCTGCAACAAACGGACCAGGCCTGGGGGCCCTAGGATTGGAAGGTAACATGCGTTGGGGGGTAATTCGGCAGGAAACGGACCAGGCCTGGGGGCTCTGTGAATGGAAGGTATCATGCGTTGGGGGGTAGTTTGGCAGAAAATGGACTAGGCCTGGGGGCCCAAGGATTGGAAGGTAGCATGGTTAAGTGACACTTAATGTCGTATGACATTTGGAAATAAATGTTATTCTAAAAAGTTAGAAAGGATACTATTGCCTAATACAATGTCAGCCCAGCAACATAGGTACACGAGGCACCACAACTATTTTTTCTTGTATTAGAAAACTTATTTCAAGACTGCAAATAATTTAAATTGCTTTTGGGACTTACATTTGTTTCAAATTTTTTTTACTGAAAAGATGATGTCATGGGTGTGTGACGCTAGGTAGCTGGTTCAATGTGGAAACAGTGTTTCTTTCAAAAATCTCTCCACACCCCCACCTCCGGAGAAAGTCAAGTGCCCCCAAACCGAGCAATTGTGCCCTAATTGTGCCCCAAAGTGCCCATCCCGTAGAAAATTGCGTACAACCAAAAAGTTAAACTATATTTTATAAAAACGTTTAATTTGTCATTTTAAAAAGAACATTAACTGGTGCCTTGAACCGATTACACGTAGTAGAACTTAAGAATATATCCACACGCTCGATATATATATTGATGACACGTATAGTTAAAGTTAATCTTGTTAGAAGCTTGCGCTATTCGAATATGAATAACGAAGTTTTCCGAAAATTCGCCGCTCCTGATTTTAAACCGAAGACTTAATTCTTGTTCGCATATATCGGTATTTTTATTTATTTATTTATATTTTGAAACTTGACGAGTTTTAAATTTCAAGACTTAAGTAACACTGTATCAAATGCTGTGTTAAAGGTTCATAATTTTAGACGTAGGGATAGGTGTAAATTTCCAAATGAGTGATAGCATCATGCTTTTAAAAATATAGTCATAAGCATAATTTTAAATGTACTTGATTCCATTTATGTTGAGCTAGATAAAATGAAAAAATGACGACTTTAAAGGCACATATAATTAGTGCGTATTTCATCATTGATTATTAAATCGAAAGCATTTGTGTTTTCTTTAAATGTGCTACTTTTCTAGACAAATTTCCTGATAAACAGATTTTTTTTTATACCTAGCCTATATTTATTAAATTCACAAATTCTTGTTAATTCATAAAAATAAAAAATAGCCCCAACTTTTTGCACGCAAAACAAATTTTAAAAAATATATTATTTTACAAGAGAATCCTGTAGAAAGCTACCCACCCCCCCCCTCCACCCCGCTCTTTCCGATCTCCCAAACACATACACACGTTTTTTAAAACTAAAATTAAGATTATCATGCAAATTCCATTTTTGTTACAAGTATTAGAAAAAAAATAGTTTCTTCCTAAATCGTCAATATATACCTAATTTCTTTTAATTTGGTATTAAAAAAATTGGTATAACAAAAGCAGGCCAAACAATGCAGTCGCTTGACTTTTCTAGGCCAACTTGCCACTTTTTGGTTTTGTTCTTCCCCACATTGCATTCAAAGATGATAATTTAAAAAAGTTGTTTTCAAATTTTATGCAAAATGTTGCAAAACGACATTCAGATATGTGCTAAAATGCATTCCTGCATTTTGAACTCATAAAAAAATTTCTGGTGACTATTAAGATTTAAAAGGTGAGCATACCCTAGGGCAAGAAGCATACCCTCAAGGGCGACACAATGGCATGAATCTAGTTCATAATGGACTGGGTCCGAGAGATGTCCTTAAATTGATTGTTGTTATGGCTAATTTTGGCGCTCCCCACCCGAAAATCTGAATGCCTCCTACAATTGTCTGAAAGAAAAAAATTCAAGAATATGCCAAAATATATCCCTGTATTTGGTATGTGCCTGACAGTCTTCGGCACTCTCAAATCTGCATTCCCTCCCCCGCGCTGATCACTGTGACAGTACGGCGTTGAATATAAGCTTTTGTCAAAGGATTATTTTGGGGCATACCCCAATTGAAGTGAACTCAAATTATGTATAGGATTGGGCGCCACAAGGCTCCCTCCCACCACCCCCCCCCCCGGATTCTTAAAAGATTATATCCCCCCGATCAAAAAGTCTACTTGAAACACTGAATTCAGGTATGTTCCAAATTGCGACTCGTGATTTTGAAACCATCAAACATTTTCATTTGAGGAAGCTCCCCAGACCCATCTTCCGCTCGAGTCATCAGCATCCTCGATTTCTGCCTTAACTCCCGAAAATCCTGCTCCTCCATGTAAAGAAAAAGTGACACCTGGGTGGACCACCTTATCCTTTCCTTTCTACGCCACTGGCAGAAGCGCCAAGGAGAAAAGATTAACTTTCATGCTCCCCCACTTATTCAGTTCTGAAGTCCTTTATTTTCATCCATTAAATACAACCAAAGCCCATTTTGCGCTCCCGCTAGACTGGTGCTGGGTGCAACTGTCCCACTGGCAATGCGCCACTCGAAAATTTGAAATTCATCCCCGACCCCCCACCTCTTTTTTTTCTCGAGGAAATAGTCTGAAAGAAACCATGAATGAAAATCATCTTTATGTCTGTGAAATAAACGTTCTTAAACGATGTGTTTTTAAGCATAATTTAGGTCAATAAATATTTTGTAAGCTTTCATTTTAAGTTTATATGATAAAACTCGTTTACACTTCATCCGTGACAATTTCATTTGTTGTATTTTTCTATTGTATATAGAATGGTCTCCTACGCTAACTCAGATTTTGACACGTACAGACCAGTCAACGTTTCTGTGTAAGTGTTCAAAGCTAGTTTTGTGGTTAGATCTGTGTCAGTGTTCAAAACTTGTTTTGTTTCTAGATCTTTGTAAGTGTACAAAGTTAGTTTTGTAGCTACATACGAGTTAGTGTTCAAAACTAGTTTTGTGGCTCCATCCGTGTAAGTGTTCAACGTTATTTTGTGGCTAATCTTTTTTTAAGTGTTTATAGCTAGATTTGTTGCTAGATCCGTGTAAGTTTTGATAACGTGTTGAGAGGTTACTTTAAATTTTTCTGTGTCTATTCCTTAAGTATGGAGACTAAATTAACTTAACATATGCGTATATGTTAGTACCTTCCTGTTAATGAGAAGAATTGTCCCACTAAAATTGTTCACCTAATTGTCTATTTCCAGTTTCAGCACGCCTAAAAGTCGGTCCATGTGGGATCATCGGCAACAACCATCTTCCCCATCCCCTACGATCACCACCATCTCCAACCGAAACGACTTAATTTACGGTATCAATGACAAGTCAATCAAAATGTTGGATGACATCTTTGGTCCTCAGGTAAACCATCGTGTTTTAGATGACATCTTTGGTCCTCAGGTAAACCATCGTGTTTTAGATGACATCTTTGGTCCTCAGGTAAACCATCGTGTTTTAGATGACATCTTTGGTCCTCAGGTAAACCATCGTGTTTTAGATGACATCTTTGGTCCTCAGGTAAACCATCGTGTTGTCATAAAGATGGTTTTTAAAGTTCGTTGATAAAGATCGGTTTTAGTTCGATGTTACAGATAATATTTTAGTTCGATGATAAATACCATATTTCAGTTCAGTTATAAAGATAATATTTTAGTTTGATGATAAAGATCATTTGTAAGTTCATTTATAAAGATCATATTTTAGCTTTTCGATAACCATACTTGATAGTGTGAATCTTAAATCATTATTGGAACTGTTTCTTTCTTCTTTTTTTTTACAGAAGAGGATGTATGAAGTGTAATTCTGATGGCATGCAGGGGGAGAAGTTACCATGGAGATGAAATATGAACATCTACAGAAAAACTAAATGTGAAATAACAAGTAATGAATGTGCTAACATGTGGAGGATAGATTGCAATGTGTCTAAGAAATCCAACGCTGACCTGTAGAGTAGAAGCTGCAGTTATGGAGCCATTGAATTTTGCTAACTTGGCTGCCTGAGATGAAATACAATTGTTTTATTGTATCTTTCGAATGTCCATTCCATGTAAAGTTGTTGATGATTTGTTATTACTGAACTGAACTAAAACAGTTCCTCACTAAACTGATTTAAAATATGCCTACGTTGTCATTAAAATGATCTAAAATAAATTTTCCTTAAACTGATCTAAAACATGTTAGAATGTCATCCTATATCATTTTATACTAAACTCATCTAAATAAATGTATCATTTAAATAACTGAAATCGTGATTTAAAAAAAAAATCAAATATAGGATAATTTATTATACTATAATATGTGAAAAAAAACGCGCAGTTCTGACACTGCCCCACGTTTAATGCATCTGTGAGTTTTGTCAAAGGTGTGTCATCTCCAGATGCCACGTATCGCCAGTAGTGAAAATAAAGATATGTTGGGACGTTATTATTGTAAATGGGTCTCTCGGCGCTGCTATAAAGTATGCATAGTGGTGTATCATGTTCGTTCATATGTAAGTGGTCTCGAAGCCGGGACCGTATTTGCAAAAGGTAGCAGCACATTTCAGGGACATATTTCATTGCACAGAACTAACTTGTGCCATTGAGGGAGTGTACTGGGTAACAAGAAGGGGACTTTTAGTTGACAGTGTTACATTATAACATAGTAAATTCAAGTAACAAAAACAAAGTTAATGTTACAATAAAAGCAAGAGTTTATTGATAAAAAAAAAATAATAATAAAGGTTGAGGCGGAGAGAGAAAAAAAGTTTAAACATAGATGGGAGAGGTAACTCTCATTTCCCAGGTTGTGCTCATCATTAGCAAGCAAGAATAAAGAATAATTAGATACTAAGATCAACTGCAGTGAAGCAGAAACATCGAGTCAATGAATTTACTTAGTGTGAAGTAAACAAAAATTAAAATTTGGCCATCTTAATTAAAATGTAAGTATAAGAATCTCTTTACGGACTAAAGATGTCAAATAATAATTACGAGATGGTGTTTAAACCTTGACCTATCAACTAAGTAAGTGAATGATTTATGCCAAAGAAAATTTCCCACCCAGGGGCACTGGAAGGATGAGGGCCACCCTAGCCAGTTCTTCTTTCTTATCATTAAGGGTGGCATTTTTGGCCAACTGCAGAGTTTTATCCTCCAAGATGGGCTGCAAAAAACTTAGCTCACCCCTGGCGGAACTAACCCTAGCTATGCTTCTCATCCAAACTGATATGTATGTTACATGGGTTTAAAGTTTAAATTTTCTTATCATCGCCTTCTTTTGATTGCATAAACTTATGATCCTTGATTTATATACATTAATGTACAGTCATTCGGACCCGTACCATTTTAAACATTATAAGCTTGAATCGATATTTTAAAAATAAAATAAAATTTAACTCTGAGAAAATAAAATTCTAAGTGAGTACTACCAGTAATACTGTACCCTGTCGCAAGTGCTCACTGCTACTGCACACTGAAACAAGTGCTCACTGCTTCTGCACACTGACACAAGTGCTCACAGCTACTTTACTCAGACACAAGATTGTATTTTATTTGAACACCTCATTTGAAAAGGCCAGCTATACTTGTAAGAAAAAAGTTTAAGTAAATTATTGTCTTAGGCAACACTTATCATAGACATTTTGTGCAGGATATCAACTATAGTATGAACACACGCCATTGAACTTGTAGTAAAAAGGCATACATAATGCTTGTATCAGATGCATGAATACAATTTCACATACATAAACTTACTGGATTGAGTAGATCAGCTTATGGTTATAATGTAGGAAACTTGGCTTGATTTGACTATTGAGCCACAGAGAAACAAGGTTGAACCATAAGTTGAACATTGTTGAATCATAAGTTGAACATTGTTCAATCATAAGTTAATGGTTGGTAAAACTGGATATGTACATGAGCAAAACGATAGCAAATAGAAAACACATAAACTCCTCCTTTTCTATGACATCATACATACAGAACCAAAGAAAGACAAGCTTTTAATAATGTATACAAATATATTTGAAGTAGAGATTTAATGAGGACAGGTTTTGGACTGGATTAAAGCGTACATAGAAAACACACAATATAGTATGTGGTCATGAATGGTGTACAGTTGTAGTGTTGAACTCTATCGGGAGACTTAATGTTCACAGTTATACCAGGTAATCATATAAAAAATACAAACAAGGAAAGCTGTATAAATATGGACACCTGAGCCCAACTAGCCCCCCCCCCGATCCCAGCTACCCCCCACTAGATCCCAGCTAGACCCCCCACCAGATCCCAGCTAGACCCCCACCAGATCCCAGCTAGACCCCCCACTAGATCCCAGCTAGACCCACCACTAGATCCCAGCTACACCCCCACTAGATCCCCAACAAACACACACAATACACATGCCATTTAAAATACAACTTTATTCATTCCAGTTAGTTTTAGGGGCACACTGATCAAAATCTTGACTTAAGATGTGAGCCATGATGGACACATGTCAGACAAATGTTGGCATAATGTGGCACACACACACAACAGATACATGACGGACATATGAAAGAGATACATGACGGACATATGATAGAGATACATGATGGACATAGGATAGAGATACATGACAGACATATGATAGAAGTACATGACAGACATATGATAGAGGTACATGACAGACATATGATAGAAGTACATGACAGACATATGATAGAGATACATGACAGACATATGATAGAAGTACATGACAGTCATATGATAGAGGTACATGACAGACATATGATAGAAGTACATGACAGACATATGATAGAGATACATGATGGACATATGATAGAGATAGCTTAAGTTGCTAGAACATTTCACAGCTTCAAAAATTCAATCATATTATTCACTTTAACAACCACAAAAGGTGCAAGGCAATAAATTATTACAAGCCATCTAGACTAGTCTTCTTTTTTTTTTTTGGTAATAAAATCAAGGAATATAACCACTTTATTTCACTATACAACAAATATATGACACAATACAACAAAAATATGCAACAAAAAACATTGTTATAGTACACAATAACTAAATGTAAAATACACAAATTGTATGAAAGAATGCTGGGAAGGAATGAATTATGCTTCAAAAGAAAAAAATGGTGGATGAGCAGTGTTTACAACGAATGAAAGATCCACATATACGTCAATTATCCTTGACCTTAATATGGTCTGCACAAATGTAGCAGCAACACAACATAATTATCCTTTAACATCAATGCAGATCCCCTATAAGAAACACCCTATCAGAACCATGTAAAAAAAAAAAAACCATCAGAACCGCTGTAAAAAAACACCCAATCAGAACCCCTGTAAAAAACACCCAATCAGAGCTCCTGTAACAAATACCAACACAGATATCAAAATATAATGGGTGGTTTTTTTACCAATTGGAAAATGTTTACTTGAGATAAAAGAGAAACATTCTAAAATTAAGTTAAAAGCAAACAAATGAATCACTTTTTTAAAAATCCTTGAAATAAATACCAAGGATAAAAATGGCATTTGAAAGTTCAACACAATATTTGATTGATTCATAAAGCCTTAAACCATGGAATAGATATAAATTATATGATATGCACCCTTAAAACAAAGCTACTGCACCATGACAAAACTGCTACACGAAAATAAAAGTGCTGGATAAAGTTCAGAAATGCTTTACTTAGACACGTGTAAGGGAGATGTGTTAGGTATGTGGTCAGGGCAGTTGTGTGGTCAGGGCAAGTGCGTGGTCCGGGCAGGTGCATGGTCAGGGCAGTTGTGTGGTTAGGGCAAGTGCGTGGTCCGGGCAGGTGCGTGGTTAGGGCAAGTGTGTGGTCAGGGCAGTTGTGTGGTCAGGGCAGTTGTGTGGTCAGGGCAGTTGTGTGGTCAGGGCAGGTGCGTGGTCAGGGCAGTTGTGTGGTCAGGGCAGGTGCGTGGTTAGGGCAGGTGCGTGGTTAGGGCAGGTGCGTGGTCGGGGCAGGTGTGTGGAGGTGTGTGGTCAGGGCAGTTGTGTGGTCAGGGCAGGTGTGTGGTTAGGGCAGGTGTATGGTCAGGGCAGTTGTGTGGTCAGGGCAGGTGCGTGGTTAGGGCAGGTGCGTGGTTAGGGCAAGTGCATGGTCGGGGCAGTTGTTTGGTCAGGGCAGTTGTGTGGTTAGGGCAAGTGCGTGGTCAGGGCAGGTGCATGGTTAGGGCAGGTGCATGGTTAGGGCAGGTGCATGGTCAGGGCAGGTGCGTGGTCAGGGCAGGTGCGTGGTCAGGGCAGGTGTGTGGTCAGGGCAGGTGTGTGGTCAGGGCAGTTGTGTGGTCAGGGCAGTTGTGTGCTCAGGGCAGTTGTGTGGTCAGGGCAGTTGTGTGGTTAGGGCAGTTGTGTGGTAAGGCAGTTATGTGTTAAGGGAAGTTATGTGGTCAGGGCAAGTGTGTGGTCAGCAAAGCTATGAATGTTGAATTAAACATTTCACAAACTGATTAACACATTGAGGAAATATAGACAGTGATATTTTCACTTTAGATAAAGTACATCCATGAACACGTAGAGACAAAGCACTGTAGACCTTACACTAAGTCAGGGAGCCATGTCATTCATATTTAGAAAACTTATGACAGTAGGGACTCATCCAATAAAACAAGAATTAAGAGATGTATTTGAATGCTGGCCAATCAAGAACATAACATATGAAGAGATTCAAATTTTAATCACGAGTTTTGACTTTTAGACACCAGAACTATAAGCAAGCTATAATCTTCATTCCAATAGCAGTATTTTTCTCAACATCCTTCAACAACAATCTTTAATCCAAAAATCTTTCTTCCAAACATCTTGTTTATTCTTACAGCGATCTCCATTCCAATGGTAATATCATTTAATCAACCACATCCTTGAGACCATAAAAGAATTGTGATGTGCAATGAAAGACTCATTAAACAGTAACAAAAATATAATTAACAGCATAATCAGCTTGAAGCTATGGGACAACTAGTTTGTGGGCATGTGTCATAAACCTGGCAGGCTCGCGAAAACCAGTTGGTGGGCATGTGGCATAAACCTGGCAGGCTCGTGACGACCCTGTGATGATGACCAGCTGACATTTTCAGAAATTCTATATATCAAGGGCTAAAAAACCATCAACTGTGACGTAAAAATGAAATAGTACACTTGTACAATCTGTGCAGCAATGATGTGTCTAAAAAGAAATAGTAGTTTTGTAGACAGTATCAGTGGACATCATTCTATGATAGTTTTTAACCATAAGTACACATTGGTGCACACACAAATTGATATAAGTTATAAGTGATAGCTAGTTCACTCATTAGATCAGTGGTTCTCAACATTCCTAATGCAGCGACCCTTTAATACAGTTTCTCATGTTGTGGTGACCGCCCAAAAAACATTTTCGTTGCAACTTCATTAATATGTGGTTTACAATGGTCTTAGGCCACCCCTGTGTAAGGGTCATTCCACCCCAAAGGGGTCGCGACCCACAGGTTGAGAACCGCTGCTTTAGATTGTTCTTATGAACTTGTCCACATTTTTTTTAAAAGCCGTGAAATGTTTACATTTCTTATGTTTGCTATTGTTTTCATCTCGACAAAAAAAGTGCTAACATCTTTATTAAAGAAGGATGTCATTTTCTGTCATAGGAATGTACTGAGATCAGCAATATATATGACGACTCATTCACTGCAACACTGCAAGGGAAACAATTCAAGCAACTGAGTTATCTTTTCTTAACATCCAAATGAAGACCCCCACCAAGCATACAAAACTACTAGATTAAATGGAACACACGTATTAGATGTAGAGTGAGCTCAGTCCTAATATCACAAAGTAATGAGGTAATGATGATAACACAGATGGCAAGCTGAGCAGGAATACAAGCCATTGGAAGGAAGCCAAGCAATGTGGAAATAAAGGCACTGACCAGCAGATGAACCTCTCAAACTATTGGGTCAATCATTTGGAATGGGGTCAGAGGTTGAACTCTTACCAAAAGAGTTCAGGGATGATTAAAAAGACAACAAATATGGACACTGGATTTGCATACCTAAAAATATACAAGTACATAATCAAATAAAGAAATTGGAGTTTCTGGACTAAACATAAACAAGTACATACAATTTAAAGACACTAGAGTTAGAATTATCCCTATTAACTAAAAGCTCATACAAGTGATCAGCTAGTAACAATATAAAAATGACTGGCCACACAGCTAGTAACAATACAAAAATGACTGGCCACATAGCTAGTAACAATTAAAAATGACTGGACACACAGCTAGTAACAATATAAAAATGACTGACCACACAGCTAGTAACAATATGAAAATTACTGGCCACACTGATAGTAACAATATAAAAATGGCTGGCCACACAGCTAGTAACAATATAAAAATGGCTGGCCACACAGCTAGTAACAATATCAAAATGACTGATCACACAGCTAGTAACAATATAAAAATGGCTGGCCACACAGCTAGTAACGATATAAAAATGACTGACCACACAGCTAGTAACAATATGAAAATTACTGGCCACACTGATAGTAACAATATAAAAACCACAGGCCACACAGCTAGTAACAATATAAAAATGACTGGCCACACTGCTAGTAACAATATAAAAACCACAGGCCACACAGCTAGCTACAATATAAAAATTACTGGCCACACTGATAGTAACAATATAAAAATGTTTCAATGTAAAAAAATTTTGGACACTGATGCAACTATTTAAAAATGTTTTGATATTTCGATACACAGCAAATAACAACAATACCATAATGCTTGGACAGACAGCTAGCAAAAATGTAACATTCCTGGCCTCAGCATGTAACAATATAACATTATTGAACACACCGTTTGTAACATTATAAGCAAAAAACAAATATGAAAAACAATCCACCAGCAGATTTTGAGTCTGGCACTACGTTAATGGGACATAATCTTTCTCTAACAATTCCAAGCATATAATTTTGTATATCATCAGTTCTAGCATAACAGCATGAAAGCATCTGCTCGTAGGGGGTTAAAATACACAAGAGATTGATATAAAACACAAATCATAATAGATGTTTATAAATCATAAAAGAAGTATACAGATAGTGCAAAATATACAGATGAGGAATTTTACAGTTTTTAGCAGAGGTTTAAAAGAAAGATAAACAAAAATAAATAATGATATGAATCATAATCTGGCAAATCCAGGGATCCAGCAATGGCCGGATGAGATGTTAAGTCATGACACTAATGTCAACTATGTGCGCTGTCCTGGTCAGCAGTGTGGTCAATGCCCTCCAGACCACAGTCACCATCCGCCCCATGGTCAAGGCAAGCAGCTTCAACATCAGTTGGGGTGTAGAAAACTTCATTGCTGACCAAACTTCGGGGCATCAGCCCCAGGGTAATATAGTCATCTAATATCTGAAGACAAAAGTATTGTCATCAGGCCAAGTGTAACAAAGCAGGTGAAAAATGAATGAGTTTATTTAATATTTTGAACTTTAAAGAAAAACTGTCTATTTTTACATTCTAACTGGTAAACTTGATGAAGTAAAACATTGCGGTGTTTAACAAAAGCAGTTTTAAGAGAAATGAAACTCATAAACAGTAAATGGTATTTAAAAATATCTTAACTATTTGACCACCTAATTGTATCTGTCTTGGGACATCCTTAAATTCCTAGACCCAAACCAAAGGACGGAATGTGCCCTAAAATTAACTAGTACCAACTTCACCTTCTTCTTTAGTGTCGATGCAAAGTCAGCAGTAGCCCTCAGACTTTAGTCGTTGTGTTGTTTTTACCTCAGCTCATATAAAAACTTACTACACTAAAGAGTAAATTCCCCCCCCCCCAGCTATTTAAACATGCATTGGCATGACATTGGATGAATTCTTGAACACATGTGAAGACCTCAGCGGAAAAACCAGACATGTTACATTTTGAAGATTTTGAGAAAATTGCATTTTAAAGTTTTAAAATATCCAATATTTTCACATGTAAAAATAAAATGCCTTAATTTTTTTATGTATTTAGTGATCCATTTTACTTTCAAAATATATCAGTTATTAAATATTTTGTGACAATTTACTATATTTTTACAGCTTATTACCAGGCTGACCCAACATTGTGACTTGTCTGCTTTTTCAAATGAAAATAAAATATTTTTTTTAAACTATATTTTATGACTTTTAAAAGGCCATTACTTGTCTACTTCATGCCAAGTCAACTTAAGTGACCACTTTCAATAATACAAGCAATAGTGGATGAAAATCACCCAATTATTTTACCAAAAAAATTATTAAAAATTATTATTTAAAAAAAAAAAATCTAAAGCTCTGTTCAGTGTACACGCCACTGATATCTTGTACTGTTGGTGTAATGAGTCAGTGATAATATAATAAATTATATAAAATTTATACTTTCAAAATGTCATTATCATTCAGCATTTTAAAAATTATATGTAACATATGACCCTGAACTGGTATTGAAATTGATGAAATTGGAACATGCTTATTTTATGCTATTTTTACACAAACTAGCACTAGCATCAGTCATCGCTCAGTTGACTGTAAGGGTAGTGATTTTCATTCAAATAAAATAAAGAGATTATGGCTGCATTTTTACTGACAATGAAAACATAGAGATAGTCAAAGTGTGTTTAACAGCTTTTAATCGGGAAGGACTGCATGTAATAGTACAAAATATGTTGTAAATCATTGTATTGTTTTGATCACTGCCGTCAGTGGTCTGATTAAAAAGATGGCATGAAGCAAGAGATGGGCATACTTTTTGCTCTACATTTTTCTTTTTCGCCTTTATTGGGCAATAGTCATTTATCAGAGGCAATCTTTAACAGAGATGTAACTTCGTAACACAATAGATCAATAGACATAGAAATACATAATACAGCACTGTCGAAGTAGACTACCAATTAAACTTAATGACTTAATCCTAAACGTTCATAATTCTGATTCTAATCACATAAATCTTGCACAGTGACTATCTTTACCCAATGTTTGACTAGAAAAACGTTGCTTCCTAAACCTCTTTTTCTTTCTCCCGTTTAATTTTCTGTTTAAGATTATATTAGATAACAATAGTAGCAGTAAATGTTGGGTGTAATTTTCTCGTTGGACAATTGACCTACATTCTTTATTTATTTGGGTTTTCCTTACTTGCCATTGGTTGAGCACATCTTGTGATACTAAGGGAGGTTATTTTGATTTTTTTCTTCTACATTTTCACTGGACATGTCTGATTCTACCAAAGTATGCACTATTTTAAATCCCCGATGTCTGATTCTTCCAAAGTATGCACTATTTTAAATCCCCGATTACCCGTAAACGAGGTGAGTTGTGCAGTAGTTTTCAGTGCCATTTGAAGCTTAATAATGGGGTGAATTGGTTAAGGGGGATACTCAAAAATGAAATTTTGTGACATGTCTGGTTTTTCCGCTGAGGTCTTAATGTGTGCTTTACTAGACCAAGTTACACACAACATGGGCATAATGACCCTGGATGCATTCTTTAACATGATGGCTTTACAAGACATTAGTATTCCCCACGGGAACATGAATTAAGAATTGATGTGCTGTCACTGACCTCTTTCAGGTGGCCGATTTCTAATTTTGGAATGGTGTATGCAAATCCTGTCGACTCAATCTTGGAGCCATCGATGAAAAGATGTTTATTGTACAGCAGTTCCTGAAAGTATCAAATATAAAGGATGTTATTTAAATAGCATAGCAGTTCCTGAAAATATCAAATTTAAAAGCTGTTTGTTGAATTTCAAAGTAGTTTTGGGAACTATCAAATGTTACAACAGTTTGCATCAACATCTTGTCAATTATTATATTCCAAAAGGCAAACACAACTCACCTGGCTTTGAATGTTTACAAGACTTATCACCTGGTCAAGGCACGTCCAACTCAACTGGTCTATGAATGTTTACACAACTTACCACCTAGTCAAGACTAACTCAACTGGTCTATATATGTCTCCTCAAATGGTCACCTGGTCAAAGCAGCCCCAACTCACCTGGTCTATAAAAGGATTGAGGGGTGTGTTACTGACTTGGTCTCTCTGACAAGCATCGGACCAGGGCCTCATGTGTTTCTCATTGATATCATCGACGATATCTGTCATCCTCACCTTAAGACATGAAAAACAAGTTGCCACTATAGCCTACATGCCCGCTCACAGATGTATGAGAACAGTTTGGGAAAGGGTGGGTAAAGCAAGGATTCTGTTGAGATAAGACTTTGATCTAGGGTGGATAAGGGAACATTGTAATGTGTTAGATGAGAGGACATTGTAATGTGTTGGATGAGAGGACATTGTAATGTGTTTGATGAGAGGAGATTGTACTGCTTTGGATGAGAGGGCATTGTAATGTGTTGGATGAGAGGGCATTGTAATGTGTTGGATGAGAGGACATTGTAATGTGTTGGATGAGAGGACATTGTAATGTGTTTTATGAGAGGACATTGTACTGTTGGATGAGAGGACATTGTACTGGGTTGGATGAGAGGACATTGTAATGTGTTTGATGAGAGGAGATTGTACTGGGTTGGATGAGAGGGCATTGTAATGTGTTGGATGAGAGGGCATTGTAATGTGTTGGATGAGAGGACATTGTAATGTGTTGGATGAGAGGACATTGTAATGTGTTTTATGAGAGGACTTGTACTGTTGGATGAGAGGACATTGTAATGTGTTTGATGAGAGGAGATTGTACTGGGTTGGATGAGAGGGCATTGTAATGTGTTGGATGAGAGGGCATTGTAATGTGTTGGATGAGAGGGCATTGTAATGTGTTGGATGAGAGGACATTGTACTGTGTCGGATGAGAGGACATTGTAATGTGTTGGATGAGAGGACATTGTAATGTGTTGGATGAGAGGATATTGTAAAGTGTTGGATGAGAGGACATTGTAATGTGTTGGATGAGAGGACATTGTAATGTGTTGGATGAGAGGAGATTATAATTTGTTGGATAAGAGGACAATGTTCTAGGGTGGATGAGAGGAAAATACTTCTAGGGTAGTAGAGAGTACATTATTCTAGGTGGATGAGAATCAAATAACCAATTAATTAAAGCTTATAAAAAATCAGCATCAACAGTTCCTAATTAATGATAGATCATCAACATCAAGATTATTAGCATAGCTCACCCTTGCTAAGTTTGAGAAGATAGCTCCAACGAAGTCATAATTGATGTCAAACAGCTCAGACACCAGGCTACTGATCAAACCTTGAGCTGGGGAAAACAGGATTAACAAATAAATGTGACAGCAAAAGACGATGTGATTAGTCAATAATACAATCTATGATAAAATCTTAAAGGTTTAAGTCGATTGTAACACTTTATGTACATCCACCAACGGAATTGGTAAGCTCAATATTTTTGTCAAGACTTACTATTTTTATTTGTATACTATATTTATGTGATTGATTTAAATACAGGAATCTGTATTGCTGCAGGTAACACAATTAACCAAAGAATTATAAAAAATTACATCTAGATTCATCTGAATTTTTTCATCGGGGTCAATTTTTAACAAAATTACCATTGATCAGTGTAAAAAAAAATCAAAATTTGACAAAAATCTTACTTAAAGTTAAAAATGTGGAATTTATTCATTTCGGAAGTAACAAAACATGGTTAAATGTGTGTGCATTGAAGGTGAGAGTAGTCATGAATTGTTTATGTTACTATGGCATCGTGTGTAAGGTGTTAAAGGAAATTATTACAGGTATATACATTGATTAAACTAAAGGCTATATCTACATCTAGTGACCCCCCTTAGCTACTCCTCAACACAACACGCCAAGACTCACTTGTGTCTCCCTTGTCTGTGAGGTTATACACCTGACCTCTGTTGCCGTGGAAGCATAGATGCCAGATGGCCCTGACCACATCATCCACATGGACAGTGTTCATCTTTAAATCTTTGGTCCACAGCATCTGAAAGGCAGTGAAAAGAAAATGTTATTTGAACATCTCTAGCAAAGTGTGCTTTTTTTTTTTTTAAACACTGTGTTGAAGTGCTATGTTCTCATATGAGTGACAGTAAACTTTAGCAGTCAACTAGTGTGGGAGTTCTGAACTAGCATTCTACAGCAACTGGCAATGATTCTGCATGCAGGAATTAAGAGCAAAATGTGTAGTTATAAAAAGTAAGAGTGGGTTAAATAAGTAGTAGAAGTAGCCAAATGTAAATATAAAACTCTATATTTTCATGCAGACGTGGAAAGAGACTAGCTTAAACTTTTCCAAAACAACAATAAACTCACCTGCATCTTTTGCATTGTGTACTTGTATATGGCTCCAATGATTAGCCTTGGGGCTGTGGAGTTGTACAACAAACATATTAGTTTAAATGTCTATTGAAAAAAATTTGACTTATTTATTGCTTAGGCAGAGTTTTTAAAAAAAATAACTTATTTTACCAAAGAATTTGGGAGTGGGTATATTGAGAACTAGGATCTCCTTCATAAAAGTAACCAAACCAATTGTTCAAATTAGTTTAGAAAAGACTAGCGTACTTTTCATCCCCCATACCAGACGCTAAGGCTGGTCATAGGACCACATGGTCCCAATACAACAAAACCCCATTCCCCAACACCTGGAAACTATGGCGTGTCACAGGGCCATATGAGCCCCACATCCCAACACCTAGACACTAACTCAGTCCATTTCTGTCTCCTATTCCATACACTATTGCTGGCCGTAGGATCACATAGTTGAGATCTACATAGTTCTCTAGAGCTTTCTCCACATCCAGTTTGTGACGTGCCAGGTTGGTCCAAGGCTCTGATTTAGCATCTTCTCTGGCTGGTTTCTGTCAGGGAATAATGAGATATGTTATACATTTTTCGTATATTAATGAATGCCACAAAAATGTATTCTACAAAGTAAAAATGTGCAATTTAATACCAGGGTGATTTTGTACCTATTGTTGAGCTCCTTCCTAAGGTGTGTTTATGTTAAGTATTATTCTTTCCATACTTGTTTAAATATGTTGCCCTGCTTAAGGCTGTCTTACAGAACTTAAAAAATTTTGTTTGTATTAAATATGTATTAAATATGTCCTTTTCCAGATATTTTTTAAAGGTACGGTATGAGTTGGACATATTTCAACATACAATTACTCGTATAGACAACAATAAAAATATTGCATATTACCTTCTCGTGTGTGTATATCTGGGCTGTTGACAGCTCGATAAATCTCTTCACTTTATGCATGGCAGCGAGTTCAGCACAGTTGAGACTTAGACGATAGATCCCTTCCTTATAAACCTGGGACAAATGTTGCATATGAAATACTGACAGATGTTACCACACAATGAAAAATTTTACAATTGGCTAAAGGACGTATTTGATCTTCACACATCTACAGCCAATGATGAAATCTACCCATTCATTCTGTCACACTTTCTGATTCATTCTGTCTGTCACACCAACAAGTTAACTTATCACACCTACTGGTTCAACCAATCCCACTTACCTATTCAACTGATCATACCTAGCTGCTCAACTTCTCAAACCTTCCCATTCATTCTGTCCCACCTACTTGTACTGTCAAGCCTTACCATTCAATCTGTCACACCTACTGATTTACTCTTTCAAAACCTACCTACCGGTTCACTCTGTCCATGCTTTGTTTCAGCAGCCAGATTTATGACAAAATCGAACCCTCCATCATCGTCACAGAAGACCTTCTCAGCAGAGGCTTTGAATCAAAATGTTCATATATTTCAACTTATTTTTAAGCTGATTAACGTTTAAATTTCATTAAACCTATTCATTGCTCACAAAGTCTAAGCTCTCCATAAGTTTTTTTAAAATAAATGTTTATTAACTTTTATTTGTAGGCAAATTTTTTTTTTTTTAATTTCAAAAAGAGTTTAACATGAATGACATATTGTGTTTTTTAAAACAAAACACCTGGTAAATTATTATAATGCAATGCAGATATTAAAAATGCAATAAAATCATCAAACAAAAATAGAGGCATTACCTTTGTTAATGATATTAGCCTGGCAGAATTCAACAGCTGGATTTTCAAAGGATTCCTGTATATATACACACAAAACAAACAGTAGAACAGCATCAATCATAAGAGATATTTAATTGTGGATTTATCAACATTAAGATAAAACTAAATATTTGTATAACCTATTGTAACTCTCTGAGCAAACTTTTAATTAAATAAAATTATCTCGTTTATCGCCTTATTCAATGTTCACATTAATTTGCATGCCTACCAAATGACGAGGGTTTAGCCATGCCATCTGAGGTGGTACCTTGTCAACTACTCGAATCTACAAGTAAAAAAACAAATACATCATACATTATGTCATCTTATCATTCTTACTAAAATCACTGTTGTATAAAAATAAAAAGATAACATCAGTTTAATTAACATTAATGTTAGACTTATTTACAAGTACCTTTCTTGCCAATTTGTTTCGAACTAAATAATCAACCAGGTTTCTCCCTATGAAACCAGTGCCTGAAAATAAAATTGTTAAAATATACGTAAAATGATATACTGCACTTTCCAACAATTTTAATTACAATAAATGAAACCCCAGCAGCACCTTGTCTCTTATTCTGTCATCAAAATATTATTTTGTTCTTGTTTAATTATAGTAAGTTAGCCCTTGTAATACTTATCATATATTAAGGCCAATTAAGGGATATGACAAAAATCTTGAGAATGTTTGACTTTACTCTGGCCTAGCTTCCAGCCAAACAAGATAATTTCTCATCTTTAAATTTGACTCCTTGCCTACATGTTGCTTGTTTTGTGTCTGCTTGTTTTGTCTTCTTTGGGATTTTCCCCACCCCATGTTTAACATAATTTAAATAGAAAACACTCAACACCTGCCACTTGTCAACTGAGAAAATTCTTCATCCTAGACTAATAAACAATCACACTGTATTTGATTGGTTCTTTCAGCCGGAAAAGCAACAAAAGTAACGTTATAACAAAATGTTCTTTTTGATAACATGGTGCCTAATGCATGATATGTCAAAATCAATGTAAAATCCTGCCCTTACACAAAAAAAGTATTTAAAGGAAAAAAGAAGTGGTGGCTCATTTCTCCCATATTATGTCTAGTCCACCAGTCAGTCCTCAATGACTATTCACTTGGATTATTTATTCCAATTCAATTAAGAATTGAACATATCTGACAGATAACCCTTGATAAAAAATAAATGTTATGTTTTTAATTTTCACATAGCACTTTTGGTTAAAAAAGTTAAAATTTTTAAATTAATAAAAACTCACTTTTCGTACCATAAAAAAAAGGACCCAATTTTTGTGATCCAAAATTTTTATATTTTTACTAAGAAGATTATAACTTAATAACCAAGAGGACAATTTATGGTAGGAAATTTTCATCATTGTATTCCCCATAGCTTAAATGTGTTTAAAATCAACTAGATTGAATTACATTTATTCTAATATTGCAAATAAAACATTAGACCCCTATATGTAAAGAATACAAACTTTTTAAAAAAATTGGAAAAAAAAACCTGAAAATTCCACACCACCCTTTTTTCTCCTTAAACTTATGATTTTTCTGTATAAATCGTACAGTAAATAGTAATTCTGTTATTACAAAAAGAACGTAATAACATTAGATTCAAATAGTATAATTTTATAAATACATCCAGACCTGTTTACCCTCAAACTCTTAAAATTGTACAATATCATCACAAAATCAATCAATACATTATCTTAATAATAAAATTTAATACCAAATTTTGTCGTACAAACAACACAATAACAATTTAAAATATTTAAAAATAAACCCAACATCTCACTTCTCATACCAGGTCCAATCAAATATCTGCACCCTTAAATAAATTAATGAAATTTAATGAGACACAAAAAACATTTTGGCTTTGAGTTAGTTGGTGTCCTTCTTCCTCTTATTCTATATTTTGAGGACCCATGAGGGGTTCGCGATGTAACTCTGCATGTTTTTGAAGAGGATACTTTATACTTTATTGGTCTTAGTTACAGGCAAAATTAACAAAACTTGCAAGAGAATGAGAAGCTAGACAACGAGGCTGCGCTTTTACTCGGCGATGGTATGATGAGTGTGAATAAAACAATAAATGCTAAGCTTTGGTTATGATTACACTATAAAAAAAAATCAGCAATGCATTCATGAATACAACAAAAAAACATCAATATAATTATAAATCTTATTTACAGTAGTCGAAATACAAACCTCCAAGGATTAAAACTCTATTTTCCTCCATACTGGTCGCCATTTTGTTGTGTTATTATCACGTGACCTAACGGATTAACTCGTCATTAAATATTCGTAAATTAAATTAGAACTTTTTACGATGGGCTCTTTGCCTTCATTTTTTTTTTTTTTTTAAATAGTCCATGTATAATGGTGCTTTTTTACGCAACTTTAGTTTGTGTACAAATATTGATCTTTGAATTTAAATATTTAAAAAATTAACAAGCGGCCGTGCACATATTATAAATAAAAAATATGACTTTTGACCCACCCGTGACATCATTAAATTACATTAATTAAAGAAATATTATTATTTGTGGGATTTTTTTTAAATATATGTTTAAACAAAATTAATTAATAAAATAAAAGATGAGTCATCATATTTTATACACTTACATAATCATTTTGCGGAATATTCACTAAAACTAACTTGATATTTTGCAGTTTTATTTAGAAAAATATTGGTGTTTGTGTTTTTGTAAACCATTCTCTAGGCTCTATACCACTGTAGTATTTTTATATTTTTTAAATGTTTTGAAATTTACATTAAAGTGTCTACAATGGGTGCAACGATAACAATGAAAGTTTATATACCAGGCCACTGCTCATCTTGCTTGGGAGGCATGCTGCTGAGAGCCAGTCATTCGCAGATGACACGCAGCTTTACAAGCATACCCATTCCTCTCTTGTCGATTCCGCTGTCCAGACTTTGCGGGAGTGCATTGCTGATGTCAAGTCATGGATAACATTCAGCAAGTAGAAGCTTAATTAATGATGACAAAACGGAAGCACTCCTCATTCACAATCACAAATCATCATCTACCTCAACTCTCCCCACTTCATTTCAAGTAGGTAAATCCAACATACAGTTTACATCCTCTGCTAGGGATCTAGGTTATAGTCTTTCTAACAACATGTCTCTCGATAAACATCTCTCACATTTGTCGTTCTGCATACACCTCTATCCGTCAGATCAGCTCCATCCGCCACAACCCCACAGTTAGCGCAACCAACACACTAGTCTGTGCTCTTTTTCTCTCTCGTCTTGAGTATTACAACTCCCTTCTGTCAGGTTCACCAAAACACTTCTTAGAAAAACTGCAGAAAGTTCAAAACTCGGCTGCTAGGCTAGTTCTAAGGGGAAAACAAAACGTGATCACGTCACGGCCGTACTCCAATCACTTCATTGGCTCCCTATACGGGCACGCATTGATTACAAGCTGTTTGTTCTCTGTCACATCTTTTTATCGGATTTCTGCCCTTCAAATCTAACCGAACTTCTCTTTGTCTATTCACCCCTTCGACAGGTTCGCTCCCCCGCAGACACGCGTATTCTGTCAGTTCCCGAGACACGCACTCAAACATATTGTGAACGACCTTTTTCTTTCTGCGCTCCCAAACAATAGAATTCTCTGCCACTACACATCCGCAATTTACCGACCACCCAGGCCTGCAAAACTTCACCCAAAACACATCTCTTTAAACTTTACCACCCCGATTGATTCCCCTCTCTGACCAATAAACGATGCTGCTGGCTACCATCCATGGCTTGACATGTAAAAGTTCTGGGGTGGTTGGGGTGTATATACATTTGTTTTGCTGTTATACAGCTGTTCTTTATTACATACATGTATTTTATTTCCAAGTCACGATTATGTCTCTTTTGCCAATATTTTTATGTACAGCGCGATGAGCCCAGCCCTAGGTTGGGGTACCGTGCTATAAAAGATCAATAATAATAATAATAATAATATAAATTTGAATGAAACGGTTCTCTGTAACCTAGTCACCAGCAAAAGCTACCATACACAGCCTAATGGACACAACGAATTTTTAAATACGTAGAGCTATAGTTGTAACTATTTATTTGTAGCCATCCAAAATTATGTCATGCGTCTATGGGAGGGGGGCAATGTTCCCTTTAAACTGCGCGGCTGCGCGGCCGCGCAGCTATCTCACAGACGCCGCGCATCAGTTTTGAGTACCGCGCAGCAAATTTCCATGTAAGTGAATGTTTGTGTTTGTGGGCTTTAAAATTTTGCACACAAAAAATTGATTCTGTAAAACTTTGCACAAAACTGTATGATTTTGCACACGAACCAACAAATCTTAGAGGGAACATTGAAGGGGGGGGGGGTCAGATTTTTGTGACGATGTGTGACGACGGGGGTGGGGGGGGGGTGGGTGGCGGCGCTTCAGCAGTGGCACGTCACATGAAAAGCGGAATATTATAGTAAAGAATAGCCCTTAAAAATCTTAAATTACAGACATTTTAAACATTATTCTTTAAAACTACGATCACTGAGAGAATCAGTACAGGTATGCAAGGTCCAAAAGATGGCCTCTGATCAAGTTACAGGACGCCAGCAGGGAGTTACACGGGAGTCATAGAAGTAGTACTAACACGAGGGTGGAACGAAACAAAATGGTTGACCCGGGCGGAGGGGGTCTTAGTAAATGCTCTAGGGCCGGGATTCTTAACCTTTTTTTTCAGCGATGACGGCCCACTCTGTTTTAAACACAACCCCCCCCCCCACCCCCCAACAAAAAAACAAAAAACAAAAAAAAAAAAAAAAACAACTTTTAAATTATATTGTAAAAAAATTGTAAATATGAAAATAATTAAATAATTTAGTTATCATAGTTTTATTTATTTAATTAACTTGTTTTATAAACAGAGAAAAAATTAGCAATACAAGCAATGTGCAAAAAAAAAAAAAATATTCTTGTTAATTTACCAGAAGAGCATTTTTACTACTGATAATCAGGATGCATAAAACTGATTTTTTTAAAATATTTTTTTTTTAAGGCAATGGCAGCAAATACAATTTTCTGGTCTTCCGCACCAAAGGGCTGGGGAGGTATGTTTACCCCTGGTTAATTAAGAACCACAGTTCTAGTGAATCTTTCTGACACAGGTCCCGTAATTTGACATCCATGTGGGGTGAATTTCTAAAGGGTTTGCAAATGACAGTAGTGGACACAGGGGATTTTTTTTGGGGGGTGGGGGGGGGCAGCAGAAATTTGTTATATTTGAGAGGGGGGGGTCTAACTTTTTGTGACGATTTGTGATGGGGGGAAGGGCGAAGTAAAAAATCGACGTAATTTGTGTGACGTCATTTATGGATGGCCCTTTTTTTTAACCGTACTAATTTTTTGCTGTATGTAAACCCTTTCACGCTTCTAACCATATTTGTATCGGTATTTTACATATGCATGTTATAGTTACACACGCTGTTTAAGATTTAGTTCCCCTGAATTTTGATATAATTATCATGTATACTTTCTTATCGTTAATATGTTGATGATTTTTTTGAAAATATACTAATTTAGCGTTGTTACCTCCCTTTAAAAAATAATGTGAATAAATGCCATTTTCATTACAATAAGATTTAATTAATTAATTATTTTTTACCTTAAGAAAAATATTGACTTTGTTCTCTAAATATGTGGATATGCTTTGAGTATAAGTAAGTGAGCTTAAGTGATTTACTTTTACAGATATTACCTTAAGAAAATAAAACTTTTGATGATGGCATAAAAAAGGGCAAAATACTAAAGATTTTACAAATTCATAACTTTTTACATTTTTACTAATTCAGTTCTATAAATAAATTTAATTGGTAACCAATTTTTAGAAGCACGAGTTCTTGACATACCCAAATAAAATAAAGCTATATGACCATGGGCGATCGCAGGAAACTTTCTGGGGGAGGGGGGCAAAAAAAAATTAGTAATGTTTTAATATAGTTTTAGTTTACTGTAGCGTATTTTTATGGTGAACGAACGGACAGGACATCAGCTGAGTTACTTTCTCTTTATTTTCTCTTTACTTGAATACATTTTTTTGTCTATTTTTGTCTAAAAAAATGTTATCCAATCAATCAGGGGGGGGGGGGGGCAAAGGCCCCCCCTGCCCCCCCCCCCATTTTTTTTTTTTTTTTTTTATTATATTTTTTTTTTTTTTTATTTTTAAAAAAAAAATTGAAACACACGAGGGGGGGGGGGGGGGGGGGCAAGTGCCCCCCTTGCCCCCCCCCCCTGCGGGCGCCCATGTATGACTGTTTTGAAAAGGCAGTTGAGGTATCTATGATATATGTTAAATTTTCTTTTGATGAAATAGTACCACATTAACTCTAATACCAGTTTAATGCAATATTTGTTCATTTAATTATTTATTATTTAAAATAAGCAGTATAACTTTCATGGACATGAGTTTCCTAAAAAAAATTGTAGTTAATCTGTACATTTATTAAGAATTTATAGCTAATCTGCAGTTATCTACACTTGTCTAAACAAATTATAGCTTTTCTGCACTGGTACGGGTTGGCTAAAATTTAATAGGCTGCGAAGCAACAAAATGTGTTATGAAGTGGATCTTAAATTGTTTGACCAATGTGCATAACCTTAAGAACTTGCCAGATGTAAACAGAACTACCTCTTTATGTTTTTTCATCAGCCAGTATGTGAAAAGAATGTTTCTCAATATCTCTAGATATTTTAACTAATATAAATGGAAGCATGTCATGTAACTAACACTCTGCGCCTCACCCACCCCCCAACCACACACTCTCCGTTTTAATCAGGCCTGCCTTCAATAATTTCACCTTAAATATGCCTTGTTTATCGGTCTGTCAGTCATCTATACTTGTATCTTTCTGTCATGTTGGTGTGGGTCAGCTGAGGTGTGGGAGATGGTTTGTGACTTCAGAGAAGAGATTGTTGTGCTCAAGGCACATTAACATGGGCATGGAATGACCTCAGCGTTCTGTGACCTGAATGGTCGGTCTTTCCCCCAACATTAATTAGATTACAGTACTGTACTTAGTTAAATAATAAACTGAAATGAAAGCTTAAAGGGTATAATCTGAAAGGATTGATTCTATTTCATGCATGGGTTTTGTTCATCTTCACCACGGAAACAGCTGCTCACACATATATGTGCTACCAAATATTCTAAAGGTTCGAGCCGCATGTGGACGAACCTGGTACATCTCTTCAGGGAGGACATTATTGTCGTACTTTGACTTTAGTGTACTAATT